GTTTTTTTTTTTTTTTTTTTTTAATATGATGAAATGTTTATGCTGAAGAGCAATTCTTGGAGAAACAAATGGCTCTTGTCTCGGGCAGAAAAAGTTATGTAGTTATGTAGTTTCTTTACTAAAAGAAAACTAAACCTAATAGATTTTAGAGGTTGCTGGTAAATTTTCTAATCTCTTGGAAGCCAAACTTTGCTTGCTCATTTCTTTGTTTTTACACAAGATAAAAGCAGACCTTAAAGATGATGGGTGAGTCCTCAGGACTTTGTTACTATTTTGGTCTCTAGCTTTTTAGCCAAGGGCTACAGAGAGGTTATTTCTACATTAAAACAGATTTTTTTTTTTCTGGTAAGAAAATAACATAGTTATAGATGAAGAGATAATGAATTCATTCTAAAAAATGTTTTATAGTGATTATCCAGAAAATGAAGAAATAAAGAATCTCCTTCAAGAGCAGTTGAATTCCTTGTCAAAGTAAGTGCTCTTTTAACTTGAAGAAAAAAAATTAACTGAGAAATTTAAAAATCAAAATAATTTATGTTTTAGAAAATATTAATGGCCCAGAAAGAGACCATTCTGTGCACAGAGGTTTGTTTCCCTTCAGCTTCTTTGTTTTGTAGTAACAAAAACTGTTTAATAGTCATAGGACTAGAGCATCTTTCTTCACCAAGTTTACACCAAGTGTTCTGATCTCATATTAGGGCACAACTAGGAGCAGTACTATAAGATTTTTCTAGTTTACCTGTCTCCACCACGAATTCCTTGTGAAGCTGCATGCTGTGAACATGCACAAGCAGTTTTTTAGTATCCACTTTCCTCTTCAAACTTGAGCTCTGTGATCAGGTATTGGGTGTTTACAGTACTGGTTAAGAAAGTCATATGTGTCCTGGGGTCCCATATGTATTGAGAATAGTATTTCAAAGGAAGGAGAAGTAAATGGGTTCACAAGGAGTTTTTGGTATGATGTAATACAAAATATAATAATTTTAAAACATTATGTATTAAAGAATGTTTTGTTGGCAAAATAAAACATTTATTGTTTGCTCTATCCAAAAATGAACATTTATTTTAATCTTTCTCTTGGTTTTAAGCATTCCATATTTAGCTATTTTAGAAACATTGATTTATAAAAATGATAGCCTTTCTTTCTTAAATATAGTTGCAAAATAAATTCTGATTGCCTTCTCTAAAGTATACACTAATTCTGATGATTAGCAAAATAATTTTTATCAGCAGTGCAGCCCTTCTTCCTATAATTAGGTGTCTTAGTTACTTTTCTCTTTGCTGAGACAAAATACTCGACACTCAAAAATAGAAAGGTTTGTTTCAGCTCACAGTTCATAGAGGTTCAGTCCATAGTCAGCTGGCTCCAAGACAGGGTGGCAAGGCAGAGGAGAAACAGTCCATGGTGTGGCAGACAGAAAGTAACAGTAAGATTCCCTTTCCCTTTTTGCCCATCCAGGCTATAAGCCTTTAGGGTGGGCCCACAATCTAAAGAATCTCCTTCCCATTATTCATACTCAGAGTTATGCTAAACCAGTCAGTGGACAAATTTAGTACTGCACACCCTCAATCCCAGTATCACACACCTTCATCCAGCCAGCTCTGAAAAGCCCCAGCTATGAGCACGTGATACTAGGTGGGAGGGATCTAGATACAACCCATAACATTAGGCAACTGTGCATATTTTCGAAAGCACAAGTTGAACAGTGGTAGACCTCCAAAGTACAATCAGAGTCCCTAGCCCCAGGCAGTAAGGTTCTGCTAATTCAGGCCTAGGTGCATTCTTAGCTTGTTTAGCTTTTGTAATCTCAGTCATGACAAAGTAACTTTGCTTTTGTGAGATGTAAACATAGTCTTTGAGTAGAATTTTTCATTTTAAGCATATATTATCTCCTTGCTGTATTGTTTGAGTCAATGTTTGTCTTACCTCTCTCTGGATTCCTGTCTGCAGTGACATAAAGAAACTTTTGCTTGATCCAGAATTCACTCTCTTGCAGAGATGCCTCCTTATTTCCAGGTAACACTGAAATATTTTATGTAAGAGACAGAATTTCAAGTAAACTAATTTCTCTTCTTAAAAGAATTTTGTAAAAGTTGTAACTAAACTCATATGATATAGAAGAATAATGAGATCCTGCTTTAGAATTGACTTACAGTTTAAGAGTTGTAATGCAAACATGGGAAAATCAAACTACATTTTAATCATGAGATCTAGGCCTAATATACTGAAAGGACTTTTTTTCTAACAGCTTTCTAGAATATGTTTTGAAATGTCAGATACGAATGACAGGTACTTAAATATACTGTTAAGTTATATTTAGAAGCAATAACCTGTACTTTTCTCACTGGACAGTACAGCTGTTACTTCTTTAAAAAAAGACCTTTCCCTCCATGCTCTAGAGAGTAAATAGAAAATGATTTTCACACTTTATCTACAAAGTTATTCCAAAGGAACTTCCTACAGTAAAGCCATGGCCTAAATGGTGTACTCATGGCAAACCAGATATAAAATTAATCTTAACACAGAATAGAGATACTAAGGTCTGAAGAACGCTTATAGAGTCAGATCCTCTACTTTTGGAGAACCAGTAGTGGGAGAATTTGTCCCTTCCCCCTGCCAGGACCCATGACAATGTTCCGATTGACATTGAGGTAAGAGTATTGTATTCCCAATACTTTAGGCCACCCACAGAGTCCTTGTCTGAGTTGTAATCTGGGTTTCACCCTTCTTAGGCTTTATGGTGATGAGTCAGAGCTGCACTTCTGGACCGTGGCAGCCCACTACTTGCACAGCTTGTCCCAGGCCAAATCACGGAGATTGGTGGCAACTAAAGAAGCTACACCTGGGGACAAGTTAAATAATCCACTGGATATATGTTATGATGTACTCTGTGAAAATGCCTATTTTCAGGTATTATTGCTGTGTACATTAGAGTCTTAAAAGCTACCATCTCGATTGTGTCTTTTGAGTTCCTTAAACTTAGGAAGCTTTTACACCAAGTTAAAGTCCACATCATAGGAATAAATCCCATGGCACATTTGCATAATAGATCTGATTCTGGACTTGCAAAGCTCATAAACACTTACTGAGTTTTTAATAGACATTACATTTTTATTATTAAAATCTTATTTTTGTCTTAAATTTTGACTTTTAGTTTATTTTGGTTTTCTTAATTTTCTGTTAATAAAAATTATTTTATTCACTTGGTTTAAATTTATTCAAAATACATAAAAGTAGCTTCATAATTTTTTTTAACCTCCAGAGCATTTTTTATCCAATTCTATTCAGGTACCAGTTTCTATAAGCAGGTAAACATGCACACAGATGATAGTATATTTCAACACTTTTTCTTTCAAATTTTTATTAAAATTGTTGAATTTCCATAGTTATATAGTAACTATATGTTATTAAAACAGTGATACTTAAATTGACTTCATTAAGTATAATCAAATTTAAATAATTCAAAAATCTTATAATCTAGGCTCAACTTTTCTCCCCCCACCTTTAGAAATTTCAACTGGAAAGGGTTAATCTGCAGGAAATAAAACGGTCAACTTATGACCACACGAGGAAGTGTACAGACCAGCTACTACTCTTGGGTCAAGTATGTCAGTTTTTCTAATTCTTTCCTTGCTTGTCTCTCTGTCTTGGTGTTTTCCTCTTGGATATATCTCCTTCCCTATATATAGATGTAGGCTTCCTTTAAAAATAAAACCAATATACATTGTGAGAAAGTGCAAATATACCCTTAGCCAGCTTGTAATTTTGGCTTCCATAATGTTAAATGAAACCAGCTATTTGTTTTGGTTTTTTGTTTTAAAGTGACTGGTACAAAGCTAAAGTAGGCAGTTACTTGAGCACCTGTCCACCAGACTGTTTTTACTTTTGCCTCAATGAAGTGCAATACTTTAATTTTTGTTTATATAAACAAAACATTCGTGAGGATTTTTTTAAATGAACATCTTCCTTAAATTATAGACCAGTGTGCCATGTTACAAATTTAAAAAGGTTTTATTGGTAGAAAATGGTTTTGTAATTACAAAAACTGTTTCTCTGTTAGACAGACAGAGCTGTGCAGTTGCTGCTAGAAACAAGTGCAGACAACCAGCATTATTATTGTGACTCACTGAAAGCCTGTTTGGTCACCACTGTCACCTCCTCAGGCCCATCTCAGAGCACCATTAAGCTGGTGGCAACTAATATGATTGCCAATGGCAAATTGGCAGGTAAGGTACATGTTGTGGCCGTATCTGTCCACGCTATGGAAAAATCAGACCTGTGCTCCACAAAATACTTGATTATTGAGGACATGTCTTTCTCTCTTATATATGCTGAAGAGAACTTAAAAAGCTATTGCTAGCTTGTTTATAAGATGACTATAATTTATTAATTTAAACCAGAACATGTTTGAAGAGTGTGATGGAGCACTATTAATAATTGCCAAGACAGTGGGCATAAGTTGGACAACCCTGGACAAAATAGAATGATACAGCTTGTGAGTAAGATGTGCTCTACCTACTTATTTTCTGGGCTGTGTTTGTGCTTATTTTACCCTGGTTATCTGAGTGAAAATGTTATAGAACTCTGTTTTCATATTTTATTGTAAAATTCAAGTCAAAAATAACTGGTTCAGATTGAGTGTTCCTTATCTGAAATGCTTAGGACCACAAGTTCCTCAGATTGTGGATTTTTTCAGATTTTGAAATATTTGCTTATGTATAATGAGATATTTTGGTAATAGCACCTAAATCTTATCATGAAATTAATTTGTGTGCCATATATATCATACATATGTACATAGAGCCTGAAGATATTTTACACAGTTTTTTATAACTTTATGCATGATACAAAAAGCTTCATGATATGAAATATTTTACCTGTGGTACTATGTTGGTGTCCAGGAAGTTTCAAAATTTGGAACATTTTGTACTTTAGATTTTCAGATTAGAATGCTCAACTTGTGTAAAATGCACAAGGCTAGGTGAAGTCAAGTGGGCGCTTTACTTCCTAATGACTTGTCAGAGAGAGTGCTGCAGTGCCCTGAGGGGCTTGCTCCTCTGTCTTCCAGAGGGTGTTCAGTTGCTCTGCCTGATAGACAAAGCTGCAGATGCTTGCCGTTACCTGCAGACGTATGGCGAGTGGAATCGGGCGGCGTGGCTTGCAAAGGTGGGTGACTGTAGTAGGTGTCTTGAGCATTTGGCGTAATGGCTCATCATTTGGAAACTTTCTTTGGCCTGCACAGCTGCTTTGCAAATGTTTCCTTGAAACTATCCTGCCTCCTTCTGTTTTTTTATAAGCCATGTTTCTTATTGAAAAGTGGAGCTCACATTAGTAGCAAGTAAGTGAAAGCAGCTGTCTCCTCTCTCTGCTGGGGTCTGATCCAGCCTGCAGCCCAGCCGAGTTGCCAGGCCTCACAGTCCTGCAGGCACAAGTCATCTTATCGTTCATGGTGAGCAGTAGCTTCGGGCAGTGTGTTAGCAAAGCGAAGTTGAGTGTTTATTTCAGAGGGACAGATCTTACTTTGCTTTACTTATTTTTTTAGAGTGTGGGATATTTTGTATTTAACATGGGTATGTCTCTTAGGTCCGTTTAAATACTGAAGAATGTGCTGATGTTCTGAAGCGGTGGGTTGACCACCTCTGTTCTCCACAAGTTAATCAGAAGTCCAAGGCCCTCCTGGTTCTTCTGTCACTGGGCAGCTTTTCCAGCGTGGCAGAGATGCTTCACAGGTACCCGGCAGAGCCCGTGGGCTACTCAGTATTTTCCAGGTTTAATCACTTCAGCTTTCCTGAGGCGTTAGTGGATGGTAATACTCAATAAGAGTATATATTTTAGGTTTACTTGAAAAAAAAAATAACCTAAAGGAGAATTGAACTGTATTCATTCATTCTTCATTTGGTCTAGGAGTTATAGTATTTTCCTACAATATACTGGTCAGACCTAATAGGCACCAATTTAAAAAGAAAATAAACAGTTTTCAGAGAATTGGGAAGGATTCAGCTTTAAGGAGAACAACAGAAAGGGAGCACAGAGAGTACTGAGAGAACCAAAAGTATGGCAGGATGGGATGTTCCATCTGAACTTCACAAAGAGGGGAACCCATTACTTCTCATTGGACATATTTGTTGAGGACCAAAAAGAGGAAGGTTGAGGCAAATAGGTCTAAAGATTACCTGTTAAATCCGGATAACGGCATGTGGCCCTTGTTATACTGCTGTGGATTTCTGTATATTTAAACTATTTGATAGGGTTCTTAAGTATCAGTAACAAAGCTTGGGGTTGGAGATATCTGTATTCTCCTTCTCTTTATAAACTAGGGCTTAGAGAGATGCTAGAGTGACTCACGTAGCACTCATTCTCCAGTGAAAATGTGTACAGGTCTTTGGATTAAAATATACCTTTAATTGATTCTACCAAAAGGACATAAATCACAAAGGCTAAATAACTCTTACTTTGTTCTGTTGCACAGCATGAGGTACTTTGATAGAGCGGCCTTATTTGTGGAAGCTTGTCTCAAGTATGGTGCTTTTGAAGTCAACGAAGACACAGATATCCTTTGCAGGGACATTTCTGATAAGGGGAAAGAAAGTGACACCATTGAGGTTTGGAATTTCTCTTGGTTGTGCTACAAGACAGGAACATATAGTACTGAGACAAGTCAGATTCTGTTTCATCATAGCCAGGAGAGGAGGAGAGATGGGAAGAGAAACAGTCAGAGTGGAGGTCACTGCACCTTTGGTGTCAGCCCTGACTGGATGGAGAGGAGGTGGGGAAGGTGGTGGAGGGAGTAGCTCAGGCTTAGTAATGTTTGCTTGAACTTAAAAGGAAGATGAAGGAAATAATTTAGGAGCGGTATAAAGGCCTAGTACTTTAAAATAGTGTTCTTTCAAAGCAAGATATTCATGCAATATATTGTTTTTTGTTTTTTGTTGTTTTTTTGTTTTGTTTGGTTTGGTTTTGGTTTTGGTTTTTTGAGACAGGGTCTCACTATGTAGTTGAGACTGATCTGGAACTCACAGCAATCCATGCAATAAATTGTATGTATTTATCTATAGTGACAGTACAGTATGGAACAAAATAAAGTCCTTCAAGGAGATGTGTCACATAGAAAGGCCACAGTGGACCACCCACGATTACAATCATCTTATTCTTTTAGGTGTCACGCAAATCACATTTTTTCTTCCCAGTTCCTTGTGTTTAAATAGCCTGCTTTTTGTTCTTTGCACTTTTTGTTGGATTATTACATTTGGCATCATTTCTATATATCAGGTATTTGATTCTGTGTATATATCTTTTCAAAACTAAAAACCAAAATAAATTTTTTTTAATTAAAGCCTGAGTTTAGTTAAGATCATGTTCCTAGTTCCTGGTGAAATTGACAGGTTTAAAGTGCCTGTGTCAGATATGAGAATATAATGAACAGATCTTATCTAAAAACTCACACCCACATATGTAGAGCTCTTTCCTTGGAAAAATAAACATCTGTCCCCAAGCCACCCTCCTCTCAGAGACTTTTATGCGGAGTGGGTTGTGTTCAGTTTCTCTTCTCCGTCTTTCTCTTTCCGGTCTTGAGGTGAGTGTAGGTGGTAGGAGATTCTAGGAAGGTGGTGGTTGGGTCTCAGCTGGTGTGAAGTGCAATGGTGTCAAAGACTGAGATCTCATGGGACCCACGGAGAACCTGGACTCATCCCGCTCTGCCCACAGCTCACTGGAGCACGGCGGGCTCTTCTGGCCCAGAGCCTGTATTGAGCACCAGCCTCACCCTTCTGTTCATTCTTTTCCCTAACTGCTGTGTACAGAAACTCATCACTGCCATATATGCAGACTATGCCCGAAGCTTAAAGAATCTTGGTTTTAAACAGGGAGCAGTTCTTTTTGCATCAAAAGCTGGTGAAGCTGGCAAAGATTTACTGAAGGAGCTTGAATCCCCCAAAGTATCGCTAACTGAGGAGTGATGGGTTTCATGCTAGGGAATCTGAGGTTGGAAGCAGGGTGTGAGGGGAAACTGGCCAGGCTGTGGTCAAGGTCATGGTCGCGATCCAGACTGATGTGGAGCACAGCTCACTGTAAGCTGTTCTCTTACCTTCATTAGGCTCTCCTCGTACAGCTGTATGTGGACATTTATGTTAGAAGCAAGTGTCCTGTATTGAGTCAGAGAAAATGTAAGTGCTTCAGAGTTTGAAAGTGTACATACTATTTTATATACTTTTCAAGAGAGTTTTAAGATCCCTGGAAATGCTTATAATTTTTTTAAACTAAAATCCAAGAAATCGAATTGCTTTGTCATTGACTAAATGTAAAGATGTATGAGAACTCTAGAGTGAAAGAAGTCTGTGAGGCTGTGCCTGTGTTTATATACAATCATTCAAGATACAAACGGGGAGAAACATTTAAAGATAGCCTACCAAAGCATTTTTTGTTTTCTTACCATGAAAATACAGTTGATTCTTTAGTTTAGGCAATTGCCGAATTTTGTAATTTTAGGGATACAAGCATACGGGAAGGTTTTAAACTTTATCTTGAGTTACAGTTCGTGGGGTCTTTGATATGTTAAATTTTAACTTCTATGATGCACTATAGCAACCTCATTTTTGAAGTCTCTCTGTACTTTAATTTTCTGTCTTTGTGTTTTTTCAGTAGCTGGAATATAACTTATAAATTATTGCTGAAAATTTAAATGTCTATAACTTAACAAAAATGATAAATAAAAAGAGAATTCCACTGAAGCCTTTGTGTTGTCTGACTCGTTCATGAGGCTGGGTAAAGGGCTGGCTGCTAAGGTGTCATCCTGCTCCCCAGCTTCTAGCATCAGCACAGAGCAAGACTGACAAGGGCATATCTGCCCGAGGTCCTGTGGCCGTGTAACTCTGCATATGGCTCTTGGAGGCAAGGGCTGGGCCTGCAGGGTGACACATAGCCTCACACCCACCCGAAGGTGTGAGTTTTAGGTAAACTCACAGCCTCTTCTACTCTTAGGAATCAGCCAGTCTGACCCTTCTGCCAAGAAACCAGCTGCACAGGAGGAAGGACCTGTTCAGGAATGCTTGTTCCCAGACCTGTGCTTTGGCTAACAGCTCTAGAAGAAATCTGGGATTCACTCCTGTACCTGGCTCACTTTACGAGTTCTTTCATCACCTAACCAAGTTATATTACAATTTCTAAAGGCTATGTGGAACTACCACTATCTTTATATTGTGTTTTATTTTAAATGACTGTTCAGACATATTTTGTTTTTTCAGCCATTGTCTTAATTCATGGTGCTAAAACCAGATACCAGACTGGGTGGCTGAAGTAACAGACATTTATTTCTCATATTTCTGAATGCTAGAAGTATGGGCAGATTTGGTTCCTGATGGAGGACTTGTCTCCTGGCTGGTAGAAGGTTGCCTTCTTGCTGTATCTTCACTTGGTCTTTCCTCTGCATGTATATGGAGAGCATGAGAGTGATATGTCTGCCCATCCTTATGAGGGGAAACTAACGTAAACCAAAACTGATTTAAGCCTCTTGTTTCCCAAAGCCCTGGCTCCAAATACTGTCACATTGGTGGGTGGACCTATACATTCAGCTGTAACTACCATCAACCAGCTAAAGAGAGAAAAAAATGCCAAGCTCAGGGAGCACAGAGAGAAAAGTGAACATTCTATTCCAAAGTGACGTCTCTTGAAAATCATTTTTTAAATTGGAAGCCAACAAACAGGCAATGAGGAATTGCCTGATCATGGACACAGAGAAATGGGACCAGGCACAGCAGCTGGGTAGGAACCTAGTGGGTAGATAAGGCTAAGAGCCTGGGTTTGTGTCCCAGACCAGCTGGTTGGTGGTGTAATCAGAGATCATGTCTGTATCCAACCAACCAGAACATGCGGCTCCTCTCCTTGTGATCTTGGGCTTAAGGCTGCAGCTGCTGTACTCTGGTGTTTGAAGCATTAGAAGCCAAGAGCAGAACAAAGCCAGATTGTTTTCACGTTCGGTCTTTCTGAACATAGTTTCTTTTCTCTTGAAGAATCTCTAAGAATGGTGTCATCAGTGCATTAGTAAAGAAGGCCTCACATGTAATGCCAGCTGCTGGCATTGGGAAGGAGAACTGGGAGAGTGGCTTCGGGGCAGCAGCCCTTCCCTCCGCATCAAGCCTGGGTGGAGGCCAGAAGACCTGGGGCAGCAGGTGGGGGCTTCTGCAGGAGGAAAGCTCAGCACTAGATGCTCCTTTTGCCTGGTCTTATCAGAGCCATTCCTGCCACTCAGTCCCTGAGATATGAATGATCTGCCAAAGGTGGGGTATCTCGCCTGTTTTGCTTTAGGTTTTCCCATTGCTTTGGAGGTGGCAGCAGGACATTTTATTATTCTAACAGAGTGGGATCAATACAAACCTCACATTCCTCTTATTTTGTAATCATGAAGTCTCGGGCTAACAAACACTGCTGAGAAGACAGTTCCCCTCTTGGCTGTTTATTTCCCGGAGAGTTCCTCTTGCAGGAAGATGCTATTATGTTTCAGTGAATCCTGTGATTACCCATGACAGCTCATTCTCAGCAACAGATGTGTGATTGAAGGAAAGCATCAAGATAACCAACTGTGAAGAATACGACCAGGTCAGAGTGAGAGATGGGTGAAAATATTCTAACCAGTGTTTTAGCTGATAAGGCTGTTTATGTAGGAGACTGCTTTTGATTATTTTGATTAATTGAGAATAATTTATAAACGAATGAAATCTTCCAATTAAAATAGACATTTTTACACTTTGTATTTGGCTGCTGTTTTAAAAGCAAAGAGAAATTGCTAGACCCTAGGACTGTAGTTCTTAAAACCCTGTAATCCAATGAGATGAGCAGGTCTCAGAAAGTTGAAGAAGCAGTTTGTCCAGCCTCCTTGTCATTCAGGGCTCCTGGATGATTTATTTCCTTGTATACGTGTGTTTGGTCAGCTGTGCAACACAAAATAGCCTGTGCAAGCCCCGCCTCTCTCTTGTTCTGGAAGTTTTGAGAGACTTGGGGTCTCAGATAAGTTCCTGTAGACAAGAGCAGGCATTTCTCTTCAGTGTTTAGTTCTCATGCTCCAAAAAAGCCAAATGAACACTACCTCTCCTTTATTTTCTTTTTAAGGACATTGAGAAACTTAAAAATGATTGTACTAAATACAAAGAGAATAATCTTCTGGGTTCCAGACAACTGCAGGTGGTTTTTAGCTTTCCCATCTTCCATGTTTAAAGTTAGCAAAGTCAGGAGCATTAAAGGAAGAAAGCTTGTTCCAGACCCTTCCTAAAGATTGGATTTAGACAAATGTTTGAGAATTTGAAATTAAATATGAAGACACTTGTCGCTATCCTAAAAATGTAGCTTGAGGGGCCAGCTTTCTTGCTTCAGTTTCTGAATCATGGGTAGAGAGTTACAGAAGGGTAGAGAGTTACTTTGTCCTACCATTCAGACAGGGTAGAGAAAAATAGCTCTGTCCCAAACCAGCAGTGTGCTTTCATGTTGCAGAATGGAATTCCTAAGGTTCAAGGATTCATGTTCACCCACTTGGGAAGAGAAGCCTGTCGGGGAATCCTCCAGTGCCTGATGACTATGGCTTCAAATAATCCCACAAAACAGAAGCAAGAAATGGAGCAACAATGGAAAAGGTTCAAAGAGGAAAGCGCAATCCAATCCAATCGAAGAAATTCAAGAAGGAAGTTGGCATACTATTAAGTTTGTGTAGGTGTGTTGTGAAAGGCAGGGAGAAGAGCCTAAGAAACAAGATTTGTAAGGCTGATTGAGGGAAGCGTCTTGAACAATTTTCTAAAACCTACCTGTCCAACAAAATCAAGTCCTCCACACCTGTATTTCTAGTATTCTTCAAGAATGTATATTACTTAGGAATTCAATTGCATGGCAGCCCCTGGGTTGTTTGAAGTTGCTGATCTGTCCCAAGTGTAGGCCAAGGTAAATATACCTAATCCCGTCAGGCAGCCAGAAAGCTGTCCTGGAGGATGTATGTTAGCAAGACTTCTGTATAAATTCGTTCACATGATGCTAAAAAACCTTGCTGAGCATGCACCTTGGGAAATGCCATTGCACGTGTCAGCGCACTTGCTGGGGCTTCCAGCTCACAGGAACTATCAGCCACACCTTGGTTTTTGCTTTGGCAAAGCTGCTCAGGGATGACTAAAGCACCAGGTCCAGAGATGGTAAGCAAGGGATAAAGGAGTGGATCCTAAAACAGCTTCTGGCAATCTGACCTCAGGTAAATTGTCACCTGGCCTTATTTGCAAAAAAGTGACAATAGTTTCTACCTTGGTAGCTGAGAGTGAAGACAACTGCAAGGGCTTGTCTGTTGCAAAGCACAGGCTAATCCTTGATCGTTGTTCAGGGACACGTTTGACCTGTCGACTGCTGCTTCCAGGGAAGCGGGTAAGATTGTCATATTGTCAGCTTTCTTTCAGTGAAGGAGTCTAGACAAGGCCAGAGCAGGGACTGGAATGAGTGAGAACAGAAGGAAAGGAAGAGAAAAGGAATGACTCCTGAAGTCTTTGAAATCCTCCACTCTGTGATTGCAGAAAGCTTGTCTGGGGTAGAGTTAGATCTAGAGGCTGCTGGGCTGTTGTCCCTCTTCTTGAGGCACCTTCAGAAGCAGGCTCTGCTCCCAGCCCGTCCTCCCCACAGAATCCCACATCCTCAGCAAGCATCGTGCTTGAGAATCAAATTCATTCCTGACTCCTTTGCAGCACTGTCTTCCTATCCTTAAGGGCCATGTATTTACTGTGCTCCTCCAGAGCCCCCACACCCTGTGGGAGACAGCTGGACGGCTACGAAGAGCAAGACAGTCAAGTTGTGCAGATATCAAAGTTGGAGGGGTGGGGTGGAGACAAGAGAGGCAGTGAATAGGCTGGGTGGGCAGGAGAAGGTCTGCAGATGGAGGGAGGTGAAACGGTGCAGCCTGTAAGGGGAGGCTGCCAAAGAGGACACCCATCCAGGTGGAATGGACTGGCCTATCAAAGAGCCTAGCGGTTGTAGAGAGCTCAACCACTCTGGGCCCGGCTTGAGCTCAAGGAGGCAGGCTATGGCCAGGGGAAGGCAGGGAGCAATGTGGGCCAAGCTTAGAGATGGATCCTTCTCAAAAGGGCAGGAGTTGTTCCCCCTCCCGTTCTAAGAGCAAAGGCGAGGACCCATTTGTGACAGCTGGATGTTGCTCCTGCCCCAGTCCAGGGCAGTTCTGAAGGTCAGCAGGAGTAATGGGCCACCATAGTGCTTTTGAGGATCTGCAGCAACACTGCCCTGCAGGCGGAGCCTCCAGGATCTGCCTGTAGGGAGACAGGCCCTGGTCCCTGTCTCTTTCTGTCGCTTCTTCCTGTCTGCTTCTTGGTTATACCTATCCTGGTCCCACCTCAGCACCTGTGCACCTCCTGTCCCCTGTGCCCTGCCTCGTGCCATTCTCATAGGTATTCACTCCTCCAAGCCTTTCCTCAAAGGTCACCCCCTCATCAGAAAAGCCTACCCTGATCTGTGTCTTATAAGTAGGCTCTTACTCTTGGTAAGCTCCTTTTCTGGATCATCTCAATAACTATCATAATTTGCACTCTCCACACAGCAGTCACCTCTTATATTTTTTTTATTTTTTGAAGCAGGGTCACACTGTGTAATTCAGGCTGGCGTTGAACTCAATATGTAGTCCAGGCTGGCCTTGAACTCATGGAGATTCTCCTGCTTCA